GCTGAGGTTCGTGAGGGGCGGTGGGGGACCTCTCACCGGGGTAGTGGGTTGAAGGAGGGGTCTACTGGAGATAGGAGGCCGAGAAGAGTGTTTTAGGGAAGAAAGGGTTAGGCTGGGTTTGGTGGAGGAGTGGTCTGGAGCAGCGAAAGCGGAGAAAATAAGGGTCTGTTAGGTTACTGGGCTTCACTGTGGAAGAGTAGAAAAAGTTAAGGGAGAGGTGGAGTTGGAGCAGCTTCCCAGGTGAGGAGACGGCAGCGAGAGGGGAAGGAGCGCTGCAGAGGTGGGATTGAGTGCATGAGACAACGAGGTAAAAATAGTGGAGAAATCTGGTGAATTAAGCCTGGTTGTGTTTCTGTGGTGTGAAGGGAGAAGGAGGCAGTTTAGGTAGAAGAAAGCATGGACAGAAGCGAGGGAGTGCAAGAGGATGTTAGAAGAAAGAGAAGAGCCAGGAAAACAGTGGAAAAGAGGAAATGGAAGCAAAATCCAGTGTTCTGGGATGTAGAGTACATAAAATAACAAATCGGGGAAGTGAAAGATTACTTTTCAACAATGCTTGTTGTTCTGTCAGCCAGAATCGTCCATCACATCTGGTACACTCATATAGCAGGGTGCCAGAGCCAAACCTGTAGATCCTTCCAAGGAAGGACAGCATAGCGGGCAGTGGGGGCTCTCTGTGGCTGCACACAAGTAAACTGAGTCTGGCAGTCCTTTGTGGTCACCTGGACATCTAAGTTATTTTTTAATTAAACCTTTCTGGTTTATCTTTGGTATAATGAATTTTATCTTAATACATGTAAGCTAAACTGTCTGTTCATCATTAAAGAAAAATCTGAGATTTGATTTAAGGAACTGGTGCCACATCCATATGTAGGGAACATAGGGGTGGTTTAGGTTTCAGTGCCGTACTCTGCCTACTGCAGCCCCAGCCTGGAGAGACTGACCTCTCCTTGGGGAGAAATGCTGATTAATTCCTGGCTATCCATGTCTTATAACTAGAAGCCTGAAAAGGTGTAGCAGAAAACCAGCAGTCCCATGTAGCTTTAATTTGTTTAGAGTTTATATTATCTGTTCTTAAAACCGGGACTATCTCTGTGGTACTGCTGGTCTCGGTGTAGTTGTTGGAGTGTTTGTGTGACATGTAGCTGGGGAGTCAAGTTCAGATCACAACAAGCAACTTTTATCTTCAGCAAGATCTTTGTGGTCAGCCCTGATAGCACCTAGTCATAGTATTTATGTTCAGGGTCAAGATGCAGAATCAGTTACAGCTGGTTTAGTCATTGTTTTCCAAATACTTTATCTCATAGACAAAACTATAGGAAGAAGCTTGTGAAATGTTTTTTAGAGTTTTCGGACTGTTCCTGTCTGGCCTTTGTGTGTGTGGTACCCGCTATCTTGAACTGGGGAGGAGTGACCAGGCTCTAGGAAGCTGAAGTTGTGTAGACTTGTTGTGAGCTTTGTTGCGCAGCTGCCAGAGGATTTACGGCGGTGAACTGCAGTTGCAGCAATGAGATGTGGCTCATTTCACTTCCGAATTCATCTCTCCAAAGGCCTGCCTCGTTGTGTATTTGAGGTTAAATTGCCATAGGCTCCCAAGCCTTTTTCTTTTTGTTTGTTTCTTTGTTTTTAAATAATTTACTACTTTGGGGTTGTTCTTTTTAAAATCATTCTTTTGTTTTAACAAGTCCTTCTTTGCCTCATTTAGACACTGAGGATGCCAGTGAAACTGACCTGGCGAAACATGAGGAAGAGGACTTTGTAGAAATGAAAGAACAGTAAGTAACACTTGCTAATGAAAAGTAAGGTGATGTTCTGGTTGTTAGGTTGATTGGTTTGTTTTCATAAAACTTTGCAATGTTTTGGGCCAAGATTACAGTTTTTAAGTGTGTGGCCCAATGTAATAGCCGATGAAACCATACGCTTTTATTTCTTCTCTGTGAGTTAATTTCTCTGTTCTGTTTGGTATGTATTCAAGAGATTTTGTGCTGCTGCTGTTCTGGGCAAAGAAGTAGGTACGAGTTTTCTGGAAGTGACTGAGTTTTGCTGTGAATGAAGCTCACTGCAGACAGCTCCTTTAACTAAAATAAAGCCTGTTAAAATCCTTTCAGCTACAGAATACTCATCTCATCCGAGAAGATGAGCTTTTTGGAGACTTGAAATAGTTTCACTTGGTGTTGAGGTGTATTTGCAGCATTTTGTGGTTTTGCTTACTGGCAGAGACATGTCTTTATACAGGTCAGGAAAGCCTGTGTTAAACCACAGAGACGTGATAAAGGAAATGCAAGTTTGTGACAGCCCCAGGAATAAACTTTGTGGTGGCTTTTTTTTTGTTTTTTAATGTCAAGATTTACGTGAGGAAATGCCTTGTAAATAGGGAACTAATACACAAATACCAAGACCTGGCAAAGAGGCAGAATGATTCTGATGTCAGGTTTCTGGTATCAGTTGGTCTAAATGTCACTTGAGGTTTCAACATTAAAAAAAACAACAACAAGATTCTTTTTTTACTCTGAACTGTTCCGTAAAATAATTTTTTTAGGTGCACTGTAAAACCAATGGGGTGGCAGAGGTTTTAGACAGAATGATAACCTTTCATTCCCATTATATTCTTTTAGTTGTTGTTTGTTTCTTCCCTGCAGTTTTTCTGAAAAGTTTGGTTTTTAATTCTGTGTAATGTGCTGTAACCTTACACAGATGGTGAAATCACCTAGGTCTGCTTGTTTTTCAAAGTAAAGTTGTGTGCTCTCCATCTTTTCAGGATGTATCAGGACAAACTGGCATCTCTTAAGAGGCAATTACAACAGCTGCAGGAAGGTAAGCTTTGAAGGTGGCTTTTTTTTTAATTTCCTAAACAATTTTCAGCACTTTATTAAGGTCATAGGAGGATGTGGGTTTTTAAAGATGGCAGCAGCATCCTTCCCTGAGTGTTGGCTCTCGGCCATGCTGCAGAGTGAGAAATGTCAGCAGCTTTCCATCCTTTTTCACTCTGAACACTTGTAGTTAAGCCTCTCTGTTACTGAAGCATTTCTTGAAGGGAGTAGTCCTCTTTCTGCAAAAAAAACAACAGAGGATGTGCTTATCAAAACAAGCAAACCAGAACTGTAGTTTTCTGACTCCACATACTGGTATTTGTGTTTCCAGTGGTGTATGGCTCCTTGAGAAAAATGTAATACTTGGAATAAAAATAATTCCAGTGTGAATTCACAATTTTTCACCTAGGTACTCTTCAGGAATATCAGAAAAGAATGAAAAAGTTGGACCAGCAGTACAAAGAGAGGATCCGAAATGCAGGTAGGCTGAATTTCGTTTTAAACCACTGCATACAAGAATTTTGGGATTTTATAGCACCTGCAGACAAACAGTGGTAATTCTGTCCTTTAAAGAAAAGGAACTTCTCGGAGGAAACAATTCTTCTGCTTCTGAGAGTATAGGGTAGGTTTTCTGAGAGTACCTGAAGCATGACGAGATCTATCTTCATTTCCATTTTAGGAGCAAAGGCACGAGTTAATTTTTCAAGTGCCTTGCTCTCAGCCCTTCTGGGCAGCCTTTAGTCTGTTACTGCAGAGAATTGGCTTGGAAATCACCTCTGTTCGCTTGCCTTCCTGCTGTCTTGTTCTCTTCCTGGATGCTGAAGCAAGGCCTTTTATAGAAGCTGTTATGTGGAAATAGGAAAGGGAGCAGTTGGATAAATCCTGTGACGCCTGGGCCGTTACTCTGGGAAACGCGACGGAGAGGCAGTGGCAGTTGTACAGGGGCTGACTTACTCCAGCCTTGGAATTATCTAAATTGTGTCTTTCTCAAAGTGCTTTGGGGTGGTGAAGGATTTGCTTGAGGAATTGAAGTCAGTTTGAACTACTTCTTGGTAACGGGAGTCTTTCGAGAGAAATTTCATATACACTAGAGCTGCGTTCTGGCAATTTTGGGTTGTTTTGATAAAATGAAGTTTTAACTGCAAACTCGTGTGTCTGGCTGGCGAAGAGCGATGCTGCAGCAACGTGTTTCTTCCACAGGAGGGCAGATGGTGATAACTTTCAGATCTATGATCAAAAATCCAACTGCCTAGTACTACCACAGGAAGAGGGATCTTTTATGTTTATCCTTCCCATGTTGAAGTGGTGTTTTTCCTGGGTTTTTCTGGTGGTATTTTTTCTATTTTTTAATTTTTTTTTTTATTTTTCTAGAACTCAGAGATATTAAAGCAACACTTTCGATTTACCTGTGTTTGATTACTTCCATAATACTGTTTCCATGCTCAAACAAAAGTTGTGGCTTTTATTTGTTTGGGTTTTTTTCTAATTGGGTCATTATCATCTTTGGTATCTATTTAATTGTTTCTGAAATGGTTGAAGAAGGCCCAGCAGTACAGTGTTGCTACTAGTCTTCTCTGCAACATATTTGAAACCTGTCTTTATGGAACTCATTTCAGATGTTGCCAAAGCTTAATATGCTGATGAAATGTGGTAACTTGAGGACTGCTCAGGTGCTTTAGTTTGCTTTTTATGCCACCATCCTGAGGAAGACTTTGTTTTGGGCATTATGTCCTTCAGGAAACACAAGAAGGGTCCCATCCTGCTTCCTTTCAGGTTTATAGGAATTGCACAAACGTGAGTAGCAGGACTGTGTCACACCCCAAAGTCCGTTTGCCTCATCCATAGGTCTGACTTGAACCTACTCATCGCCCTGTGTTAGAACTTCACCTTCTGTAGAAAGTGTCAGTTATTAACAATGTATTTCTGTGGAGTTTTTTTATAATTACTTTCAGGTAAAACCGTGAAGTTGCCCAACATCAGATGCTTTTAAGATTCAGCTGTGCTGTCTTATCTAGACGGTGCTTTTCCCAAAAAGGTTGGGCTATGTCATCCTTGAGGTCCCTTCCAACCTGATATTCTGTGAGTCTGAGGAAGGAGAGCAGAGGTTGGCTGAATACATGCGCTGTTTTCTCCCTCTCTGGCTTGGCTGCAACATTCAGTGACTTAAAATGTTTGGGAGGTCGTTTTGTGCGTCTTTGAGGATAATAAATTAAGTCTATCTTGTTTTTTCAGAACTGTTCCTCCAGCTGGAGGTAAGTATTCTTAATTTATTAAAATATATGTTAACTATATATATTAACCTCCTGTTTCATCAGCTAGTACTTGTTGCTGTTTTTCCAGAAGACTTAAAGAAATTTTCTTTCTCTAGCTAGCATTGTTACACTTGAGATTTAGCACAGGCTACTTACTGTTGATATTACTTCAAGTAACTTCTGGACTTTGTCATTAAAGTAGAATTAAAATAAATTAAAATTTCCTTTTAAAGAAAGAGATTAAAAGAGCAGTTGGTCTGTTGTATTCATTTGGCTTTTTTAAAAAGGTTGTTTAAGGTGATAAATGATAGTGCTGGTTATAAATCCGACGAGCTTTCTGCTATAGGCTGTTATGCAACATTAAATGTTTTAAAAGTGATTAATTTTTTTGCCAGTGTAGTACCGCTTACTTATTTTAGATGGTTTTCTGTTGCTTTGAATATTGCTAATCTTTAGAACGGGCTGCAGTTTTAAACTGGAAAGCTAATCAATACAGCAGTTGGAAGAAGCTGTTGTGATACCATTAACTTGAGTCCTGGGTTCCTTAGTTAACCTATTTTTTTTTAATTTTGGTTTGCATTAGACAGATCAGGTGGAAAAAAATTACGTCAAGGAAAAGAAAGCGGCAGCAAAGGAGTTTGAAGATAAGAAAATTGAGCTCAAGGAAAATTTGATAGCTGAGTTGGAAGAGAAAAAGAAGATGATTGAGAATGAAAAGCTAACCATGGAGTTAACGGGAGGTAAAAACTAGATGGGCACCCATCGCTTCTCCTGACTGCTTGGAAAAAAAAGGTAGAAAAGTAGCATTGCTGGTTTATACAGACAGCTCCCGTGAGGGCTTTAAAGCTTTCTAAGTGCTGAGAGACACAGTTCCTAACAGAACGGTGTGACCTGAGTTCCCGACAGATGAACGGGAACAGTGCCGGTGGCGCAGTGGGGCGGGCGAGCTCCCTCGTACAGGGGAAGGGGCTGCTTTAAGGCCCTGTGACCTGCCAGTAAAACTAGTGAGAGATGCTGCAATATTGACCTCACGGACGGTGCCAGGTTGTAATAGGTGGTCTAAGAGTTGAAGAAAAGCAAACAATAAAGGTGGAAATCCACTCCTTAAAGCCAGAAAAGTAGATTTGTGACCTGCCTTTGTGACCAGACTCTGGAAAATGGATGTTAAATGGACAGTTTATTTTGTGAGACCATTTGGTAGCCTTGGTGCCTCAGTGGAGCTGAGGGTCTGCTTCACAAATTTTTTCGCTATGATAACGAACCAGAAGTCTGATTGATTCTCTCATAAAGAGCAACTCCCTCGCTTCACGGACAGATAATGTTGGTTGAGTTGCGGAGGCCTGGCCGTTTTAGGCTTTTTATATCTTTCTGGCACAGTATCTACAGAAATTATGTAAGCTAATAATTTAATTAGTGTTCAGAAGTGAGAATTAAAACCTGATTGGACATATTCAGGAGTGCTCTTGGCTTTGTACATGCTGTTAGGGCTAATCAGGTCTGGGAAACAGCTGGAGCTATGCTGTTTCCTCAATTTTTTTTTGTTTATATTTTTGGTTTTGAATTATGAAGTCACATCAGATCTTGCAAAATGTGCCCTGGCCTTAAATTCCTGATATTGTATGCCTGTGTCTGTTCACTACTAAGCCAGGGTCCAATATCAACCCTGTAAGCAGATTTTCAGTATTGTCGGGAGCATTGCAGGTTCAGTAGGTTGGGATAGTTGCCTCCTGCTCTGGAGCGTTGGTTCTTAACTATTAAGCCTCGTGCAAGTCTGTTTTTCAGGTTAAATCTGTTGGTGCTTTAGCAGCTCTTCAGAATTTCCTTTATGACGTTTTCACACATCTCTCTCGCATCTTAGTTTTTCAAATGTTGAACAGTAAACATGACTCTCAAACTCCTCTTTTTTTTTTTCCTCAAATGCTTGTGTGGTGCTGACTTGTGACAACTTTAAGATACTAAGAAGGAGGAATTTTGTCTCTCTGCCTTACGTTTTAAGCAGTGTAATGTGATGACTCATTTGCAACTAATTTTTGAAAAGGAGAGAAAGCCTTCTTGCCTTGGCTTCAGCCAAGGGCTTATGTTCAGCACAGTAAGTTGGTTTTTAGTGTCCGCAGGGCTGTTAGTGCTCAGTCATTTTCAAATTCAGCCTCGAATCCTCGAGATAAGGTTTCCTTTGGCATACATGCAGTGGGTGGCACTTTGTATTTTTAAAGCTTTTATCATAATATTTGTTCCCTTGATGTGTAGCGTGATTATCCTTGTTCACCCTTGAGATGAAGAAGTAATTTAGTGTATTTTGAACGCGAGGAGCTGCTCAGGTTTTAGCAACTAGAGGGAGCCCAGGAGGCTTAAGTGGTACCCAGGCTGTGGTTCGGGTGTACTGAAAGATGAGTGAATAACTCTCAGCATGTAGAAAGAGAGGTGAGATGATGTGTTTAGCATTTAAGATGTGGTTTCTTGGTTGCCAGTTCAAGATATCTTCATAAATTAAGGAAAGATCTGCGAGAGTTTTAAATAGTTAGTTAAGACTGCCTGTAGACATTCGGACTAACTGTAATTTTGGGTAATTATTGGTGATGAGACTTGTGTTTCAATTTTAACAGTGGTTTGTGGTTTTTTCTTTTTTTTTTCCCCAGTGTGTATGCTACAATTTGTTTCTTGTCAACTGCTGCTCTGCATGTTATTAATTAGGATCATTTAATTAATCATAATTAGATAATCTGAATTGAAAAACTATTTGTGTTTCACATTCCTCCAGCAGACTTCCCTGAATGCAGTAATTACCTGTATTCCTTTGACAAAGCTGTTTTTCCAGCTTGAAGCCAAGAAAAAGAGCAGAGCGGTTTGTTGGGAGCTGATGTTTTACGTGCTCTAACTATCCAAGTTTTGTTAAGCAGAGGATTCCGAATTTTGTCTTTTCAGTGATCTGTTCAAAAGCAGATAGCGTTAGCAGGGAAGAAATCTGCCCTGAATCCTCACAGCATCGTTGTGCTTGTTATCTGTACCTGCAGCAGCTGTCAAATGCCCCCAAACCAGCCGTGCTGCTTCCAGCTCACAACAGCCGTAACCGTGGCAGCGACCTCCTATGAAAGAGAACTCGTATTCACTGCCAGCAGTTCCTGCTTGTATGCTGGAAGCTATCGCACAAAAACTAAAAAAAAAATCCAATTTTCCGTATGAAAGAAGATGATTTTCCTCATATAGAAAGCTGCTGCTTCTTAGAGCTTTCCCTCTGGCCTTATCAGCTCTGCAACTTCGTTCCGTGCAGATTCGATGGAAGTGAAGCCCATTATGACAAGGAAACTGAGGCGACGACCAAATGATCCCGTTCCTATCCCAGACAAGAGGAGGAAACCTGCCCCTGATATCCTTTCACAGAGTCACACCAGGGCTATTGTACTGGAAGCCAGCGTGCTGCCTGCGTCTGTCCTGTTTTGTACAGGAGAGAAAACGAAATGAGGTGCCAGAATCAGGGTTTAATCTAGGAAATGCTGAAGCACAATTTGTCACGTGTAATGTGTGAGAAACTAAATATAACAAAACCAATCCTTGGAGATCCCTCACTTAAACTTCACAATGTTGTGAGATAAGTTCATTATTTATATCTTTTTTCAGTGAGAATAGTTTGAATTCTTCAGGCGATTTTTTTTTTTCCCTCAAAGGGAAAAACTTTAAAAGAACATTTTCTGTAAATGCTGAGGTAATTGATTCCAGAGATAGTAAATGGCTTTTTTACGTGAGCTAAAGCTTTTCTCATTTCTAGATATGACAAAACATTTGCCAGAAAGATAATATTTGTCATATCAAAGTAGTTTTTTCCATTTCTGATAAAGGCTTCAGATATTTAATCCAGAGAGGTGCATAGCAAAAGCGAGGAGTGCCAGATTTGTTCTTTAAATAAAAAAAGGTGAAAATCCATCTTGTTTTTATATGTAGTGAGAGAGAAACGTGTGTGTGATCCTTCTCTTCTGCCTTGGTGCATGTTCTTTAAAACTGCTTCTTGGGTTCTGGAAATATGGTTTAGCTCCTCTATGATGATGGACATTTTTTTATTTGTATATTAAGTTCACTTGGAAAGGAAGGCAGTGATATTTGCTTTGCGGAGGCTTTTTATTAGATTCCAAACTTGTATGGCTTGAATCAGATTAAATAAACCTTACCTTATGCTTCCGAGTGACTTGCCTTTTCTGAAGGCAATATCAGACCTTGAAGTTCTAGTTGATCGTGTGGGATGGTCACAAGCATCTCCAGTTGGAGATTCTGTTCATTCTCTCAGGAAAAAAGATAAATCTATTTATTAGTGCACCTCTCTCATTCGAAATAAATGAGTTCCATTGTGAACACGACCTACTAACTGGGCACGGTAAGGCAGCCACGGTGTGTAGCTCTGTCGGCCTTTGCTCGCTAGAGAGAGGGTTCAAGTCCATCAGAACCAAAATCCTTAAAATGCAGCCCGGCAATTGTTAACTTCAGTTTAACACTTTGAATACTTCTGACTTAACAGCTGCTGGGAAGAAGCACTGCAGATTAAATTACACAAAATTACAGTGGAGCTCTAATAGGCCTGTAGTGCACTAACATTCGTGTTCTGAGATTTTGATTTGGTTTTCAGGTGACTGGTAGGTTCTTATCCACACAAAGATGGGGGTTTTTGCCTCTGGCTTTATTTTCTGGTTTTGCTGAGTTCTACTTTTTGTGGAACTTTCCCCTCTTCTCCCTATCTCTCCCTGCTCACTGAGCTGCAGAATGATGAGTTTCTTTTCCTGGCTTTGGCTGGGATTTGGCTTCACTGCGCAAAATCTGAAGTGAGAAATGCAAGATGAAAACCACTGAAAGCGCTGCTGTTTGTCTCCATGCAGGAAATGTCAATGCGTTGAAGGTTTTTCATTGATGGTTACATCTGAAGTAGTTAAGATGATTTTGTTCTCTGTTTGCTGCTAAATAAATCTCTGTGGAGATGGACTGTATTAATTCATTTGACAAAAAAAAGCTCAAGTGTGACACTCATGAAAATCTTATGCAACTTTACAGAAACCTTTTGGGCTTATGTGTAGTCAAGTGAAATGTCATTGAGTTTTAATTTTTAGCCTTGCTTGTCAAGGGCTTATGAGAACCTTAATTCTGGATACCTCAGCTAAATTATTTGTTGACTGATGAGCAAATAATGGAGGACCTGAGAACACTGAATAAGGTAGGGATTATTGCTTGATTTGTGTTACTTTGTTTTAGAGTGAAAGTTAATGCTTTCCCCTGAACAGAGCTTTCTGTTTTATCTTCCTTTTTGAGATGTGCCACTACTTCATCCCAGTAGACTTTCCAAAGTAACATAATAAAAGATTTAGCAAGATGGTGTCTCCTCCCTTTTATTTTAATAGGTTTAATTAACCTAATTAAAATGACTGTCATCTAAAAACGTTACCTTTTGTCTGAACCAAGTGAGGAGCTATCGTAAGGAGTTTCTTCCTCAGCACGCCTGAGCGGATGTTAACATGTTTTTCTGTGAGATCACAGGCTTTTGTGGGCTGGAAACTTTCTATGTTTGTTTTTTTTTTCTCCCCGCTGTTGTAATACTTCAGCAAACTTGATAATACACAATATGTATGTTTATAGTTTTTCTACATTTGATTAACCTATTGCTTTCTTGCTAAACCCTTCAAGGCTTATCTAATTTCTTATAACAAAGGCTGCTCGTTAAGGCGTCTGGGGATGGTGGTGGAGCGTGGTTTTCATGCCAGCTGTTGAGGTGTTTCTAATGATTTATCTCCTGTATTTCATATGCCCTGAGAAATGTTGGATCATGGTCAAACGATAGTGTTGGATGAGTTTGGTTTTGACTCACTTTAGTGGATTGTCTCTATTATGGATTCTCTGAACTGAAGTTCAGTTTGTAGACTCGTAGCGTGTTACTGATTGTCTGCACCTTTGGTGTTCAGGGCGTGCTGGTCTGGTTATGTGTTACATGGCTTAAGAGTACATTTAAAAAAAGGAGCATTTACAGTAGGGCAAGTAAGACTGTCTGAAATGATTAGTGCGGATTTCTGTGGCCCGTGTCAGATCTCTAATGCTTTTTTTTTTTCCCTCTCTTTCCTTGTAGCTTAAGTCACCCAAGAGACCAGGTGAGTTAACAGTTGCTCACAGTCATGCTGTTATGAGTAAAGGATTTTATTGTAGACTGCTTGACTGTATAATTGACAACTGTGTGATTGTTTTGACTGTGTAATTGCTGTTCTTTGTGTAGCTGCGGTGGCAAATGAGTGCTGGGTGAAGGCTCTTCATCTGCTGTGAAGTTTGTCAGGGTTGGGAAGGAAGGAATGTGCGTCTTTGGTGGCTGAAACACTTGGGCATGGGGCAATCTAACTGTGTAAAGAGGTTTTTCCATTATATTCAGATGCATCTGGGCAGCTTCCCTGCCTGTCAGGTAGATGGAGGGATTGACAGCTCCGGGTGTTATGCCTTCAGCTCTCTGGGTGTATCTATGAACTTTATTTCAAGACAGAGTGGTGCCAAAGTAATTCTGACCCTATTTAACTACCATGGATTAGAATTAAAACAAAACCAAGGACATATTGTTTGTCACCTACCTTTTTTTCAGGTAAAAATTACATTTCCTGGGTATATATTTGTCCTATTAGAGGATACATTTCTGCGGGACACTTGAGCTTCTATATTTCTGTCATTATTTCTCCTTAACGCGACCTTACTAATTGCAGTTTTGCAGCCTGATGTGCTACGGTGTGACGGACACGTGCTGATGTCTAAACCCAGTCTCTCTTCTGTTCTCAGCCTCTCCCTCCTCTCCCGAGCACCTCCCGGCGACACCAGCGGAGTCTCCCGCGCAGCGGTTTGAAGCCCGGATAGAAGACGGAAAGCTCTACTATGACAAGAGATGGTAAGTCCTGCCAAATTCCTGTTTTAATCAGTCTCAGCGTTGTGTCGTGAGAAGACAAAGACTGTGGAAAGAGATTGCTTTGGTAAAAGAATTTGAGGACAAAATGAATTTTAGACAGGTTGGCCACTTTGTCCAAGGCCTAATCGTAGCAACTTCAGTAAATCACAAGTGATAATGGAGTGTTTAGACCTCACAGACTTTGACGAGTAGCTGCTGGCTCAAGTAAAATGAGACTTAAATCAGCATTCACAGTCCTGGCGTTCTGCTTTATAGAACACGAGCCCATCGTTCCACCAGGTGGCAGAAGAAATGTTGTGCACCAGCTGAGCAGGATGAAAAATGATTCTAATAAATCCAAATAACCTTTAAAGATCAAACCCACATGGGAGAAGCAACTTCAGAATGGCTGATTGGATTTAGCTCTGTTAAGTTTTATGGGCATGTAGCTGCACAAGGAAAATATTAAATTTTGCAGAGAAATCTTAGTAGGTCTTAAACTTAATCCGTGAGACATGCGAAACTGGATGATCAAGGGGGCAATCTAGTACTCCTTGAGCAGAAAGCAATTTGCAAATCGACTGCTTATTTGTGGCCTGCTTTGGTGTTCTGGTGGTAGAAAATAACAAGCAACAAGGTTGTCATTTTATCATGGAAAATGATGGGCCTCAAGCTTGTTTTCTGCACACATCCGTCTTGTACGGTCGGTCAGTTCTGCTCCTCTTCTGGCAGTGAAGATTCATCGAGGGGTCAGTGTATACAGCTCTGTGAACGCTGCTGCCTGGAGCTTGAATTTCTGTGAAGCATAAAGCAGGCGTAAACTGAACAGGTTACTTGTCATTTCGCGAATTCATGAAGTTCTTTTCCCTTTCATATTATTTTTGTGTGTGTGTGTGTAAAGTGACTATAGGGTTTATTTGGATGAATAAACTGTTCTTCAGAATTGTTAAGCAGGTGGAGTCCTGTGAGGTGTCACATCAGGGAGCCCAGAGGAGTCTCTCGAAAGCACAAGCTCTCTCTGAAAGTTGGGACCTAAGACACTAACATATTTTGGTCTCCCTCAGTTGAGTTGTCCTGGGGCCCAGCAGTTGCCTTTCTTGTCTTCCTTATTCTCAGACTGGTTTAGGTTACATCTTTCTGGATGTAACAATTCGGCTTAAGAGGTTTTTTTTGGTTGATATTAATAGTACTTGTGCGAAGAAGCTGGTATTTTAAAATAATGAAGTAACTCTTGATAGTGGGAGGGTAATTTTTTTGCTAAGGTGTGTTAAGGTTGCAGCTGCTGGCAGGCACCGACAGCTCTGGAGCAACTGCTCTCTCTGTTTTCTGACAGCAGCCATGAAAGACCAAAGACCATTATCTCAAAATAGTGAATGTTTAAGGCTAAAAATGGACTCCCTAAGGTGTTGCAGAGACATTTCACAAATGTGTCTCCAGAGTGTAGGTTGTTTCAAATGAGTGTGGAATTACACTTTTTTTTTTTTCTTTTATCCTTGGTCACTTTGTTCCGTGCCCCCACTGTAAGACTTTAAAACATGTATCGTTGTAAAACAACCCATGTTTTTGCTTTTAGCTTTGTCTGCATGCGATAATGCAGAGTGATTTCCTTCAATCTTCTGGTGGAGATGCAGCTGAAAAATCTTGGCCTTTCAGCAAAATATTTTGTAGCAGAAATGGAATTATTTCCGCTTGCCTCGCTTGTCGGTATTGTGATGTATTTGACCTCCTGCAAAAACAGGAGCTGTTTGGCACTTTCCCTCTCTTGAAAGGCAAGTTAAATTCCATTAAAGTTTTTGTCTGAAGTATTTTCCTTAGTTCTGCCCTGCCATTCTCCTGTGGGTATCTGCGCCAGGCTGCCGTGCCTTCCGCTGACCTGTCTCTGGGCGTGCACAGAGCATGAGACAGCCAAGACAACTCTTCAGTGAAAAAGTCCTGCACTAACTTCTTCCCTTGCCTTTACTGTGCACAGTTACCAACGCTGCACTGAGATTTTTATGTCTTAGTGAGATCTGGTTTGTAGTAGCTTATGATATTCCTTTATGTCAATTAATGGTCGTCTGGACTCAGTTAAACTGAGATTTTTTTGGCTCAGATCATTGCTGCTATTGCACGGCTCTGGGACTTGCTGACATCCATTCTGTTACAAAGAGGGAGAAAGAATAATGGTTGGGCACAAATGTCTAAAGGTTGTAAGATTAGGGTTTGGATTTTTTTGGGTTTTTTTTTGGTTGGAAGGCTGAAAGCTGACACTATCATTCTTGTTACTGGCAAGCAGTGTGAAAATCCGGAGTACGTGAGCCAGTAGGAAGAGATTGTGGAATAAACTATTGGAAGATTTCCATGTTTACAGTATGGTTATTGTAGGAATAACTGTAAAGATTATGCAAAGCCATAGGTTTTGACAAACAGCCAGTCGCCCTGAGTGGTGACTGAGGGAATCCTGGTGCGGTGATTCTGCAGCTTGGGCTGCCCAGCAAAATATGAAGTGCATCATGCCTGGGGGAAAGGTGGAAGTACAGTTATGCTTTTATAACTATAAAGCATTTTGAGGGCTCTCCTGATTAAGATTATTTGCTTACAAATAATCTGTTCCAGTCTAATTAGTTTGGCCTGTAGAAGTCTCCTAGACCGAATAAACAGAAACTGAGGAGTTTTGTCTGGCACGCTTTGCAGCGCTTCCTGGAAACATGGTCTGCAAAGAAGGCAAGACCATGAAATGAAGCAATTCAGAGTTCCAAATTTCAACTTGTTTACTTTGGTTTTCTTCATACTTTTTGCATAAAACATAGAGCATGACTGAAATATGCTCTAAAAGGGGAAAAAATGGATATGCTTTGACATAGTCTTCTCATGGGAGATAACACACAGCTTCTTACAGAGTCAGCTGCCCGTGACTTACCGTTTGGGTGTTCTCCCAAAATAAGGCACTGTTAGAAGTTGCAGTTCTCTGTTTAAACACCACACAGACTGCACCGATGGAGTGCAGTGGTGGTGCACTGATGAGCTGGTAGTGGGGAGTGTGCCTGACTTTTGAGTATCTGTGACTTGCTCTGTTGTATTTTATCAGGCCTGATAGGGAATCGTCTTCTGAAATCCATCCTGTGTCTGAGGTGCGAAAGGCCTAAGTTTGATGAACTCTTGAAGCAGGGGCTTCTTGTCAGTCAGCGTTCCCCTGTCTTGTGCCTCGGTGCTCTGCCCCTCCCTCCTTCAGATGTGAAAGTCTATTTTCAGTCATCTGCCTGCAGAATTGGATGTGAATTGGGCGAGCTTCATGCATTCGGAAGCATCATTTAAATGCAAAATGAGTGTGTGGAATGAGCCCCCGTGTTAGGTTGGTGAAGATGAAGATAGTGGCTTTGAAAATAAAGACAGGACTTCATATTTATCCAAATACTTGTGGAATCCTAGCTTTATCAGTCTTACTGCTGTTCCTTTTGTCAGTCTTTGGTCTGCTGATGGTTTCACGTGTTTTTTTTTTTGTTTTTTTTATTTTCTTTTTTGCAGGTACCACAAGAGCCAGGCTATTTACCTGGAGTCTAAAGAAAACACTAAGATCAGCTGCGTGATCAGCTCTGTGGGTGCCAATGAGGTAGTGGCTGCTTTGTGTTTCCTGGGAGCGGGGCAAACTGAGGGTCGGTGTAGGCAGGTCGATGTCTCACTAGTGAGGCACTAAGAGGAAATCGGTATTACTTTCCAAAATGATGTCTGGTGTCTAAATAAGCTGAATCCAAGATAAAAGTGAGTTGAGAGGTCTATTACTGAGATAGATCTGAGATAGGAAGAGACTTGTCCTTCTGCAAAGCATCATTCTGCATTTTGCACGTAGTAGTTTGGCACGCAGGAAAACTGGGGAGATCTGACAAAAAACCACCAAACCCCAAACAACAGAGGATAAGGAAAAAACGTTGTCATTAAATTTAGTTGTTACAAGGGGAGAAAATTCTTCGTACTAACCCGAGCCTGTGTGGTGTGAGGTCGGCCAGCAGCGTTCATCACCTGCTTGGGAGAGTCTTTTGTCTGAGCCAGTTTCCTTGTGGCCAGTGACTGAGGCTCAGAGAAGCAGCTGAAGAGAGGTGCGTGCCTCAAGTTGATGTCAATCTTGCTGCAGAATTCGGTTGCTGCTTGAGCAGTGCATTGGTTGGCTGAAGGGAGCTTGTTCTCTGCAGCTTCCAGACCCTTCAAGGAAAGACATGACAGGCTTGAATGCACTTCTCTTCAATCAGCCAATGAAATAACTTTAATTTGGTTTGGCAGCTAAGGGAAAATATATTTGATTTTCAACAAAATGAGTTGCATATGGGATATGCTTGGTATCACAACTGTTCTTGCAATAACAGTTGTTACGCTCAGCGGTTGGTTATTTATCCAAAGCAGTAGCAGTGTGCTAATGGATATGTTAAAAGACAGTACAGCTAATTTGATTAAGCTTATTGCTGGTAACTTGTAACGTTAAAACTCAATCTTCAGGGAGCATCTTACCTGAAACCATCAGGAAATGCAGTCTGTTAATTATTACTGCATTAATTCTGCTTTAAAAGAGGATAATAGGTTTAGTTTGGGGTTTGGGGGGTTTCCTTGGGAGGAGGCACGGCGCTCGTTGTCTCGGCAATGGTTCGTTGCAACGATATAAAGCCAAGGGAGAGAAACACTTCCTGGAATGCCGCAATG